CCCCCACCCATGCCACCAGCATACCCGCCGTCAAGCTTAGACCATGCGCCCGTATGCCTCGTCAGCTCGCTTACGCCTGACATCCCCTCATACCTCAGCACCGACTGGAGCACGTGGCAATTCGCATAAACCTTCCCGACCTCTCCACCTAATAATATCTCACTCCTAATACACCCGCGAACTTTCCCCGTCCCCTCTATTTCACTCTCTCTTCTACTCCATTCTCCACCTGCACCGCTCACCGAGGGCGGCCCGCGTCGAATTGGAATTCCCGGAGATTTCCCGGTGCCTCGGGGGGGGTGGGGAGGGGGGCGGGTGCGGGTGCGGAAAGGGTTTGGCGTGCGAATGTTAGTCGTGGGAAATCACGGGGGAACGGGGTGAAGGACAGTGGCAGGTGGGCACGGGGGTGAAGCGAGGGGGCCGGAAAGGCAGACTGGACTGCAGGGGAAACCTCTCGACATGAGGCCACTCCGCCTCGGGAAAGGTTGCTAATGAAGTGAGACGAGTACATTTATACGATGCGAAACGGTCACGTCGGCGGTGTTCCTGCTTCGGACGCCATGGCGTCGTTCTGCTGGTGAGATCGTATCTCGTGATCACTCATGATAAGTGGAAAAGCGAAGCGAAAATAGACGAAGTATCCAGTCACGTAGAGAAGGTAGTATAAAAATTTCACAATAGAAAGTAAGAGACGTACACCAAATTCATATTTTATTCCAGAAATATGCCGTAATTTTAGTCTAATATAACAAAGATTTAAGATTAGTAGTCATTGAATATTATATATTATAATATATATTATAAAATTATATAACTATATATATATTATATATACACAATTTCACAGATCGGCTTACTTTTATTTTCGTGAGATGATAGGTTTAATACATCTAAATCTAATTTGTGAGCGTGAATTGTGATTTCCTTGTGTATGTAGTTTCGTTCTCAAAAATAAATTCAGTTTATAATTTGTTAGTAACTTAATATATGTAATATGAATTATTGTGTTATAGTAATTTAACAATAAAATAGCGAAAATATTAAACATACCACAGGCATAACTACTTATCCGTGATTTAATATGAACCTGTAGTTGATTGACTTTTTAGGTTTTATAGGAGATATTATACTGATAAACCGAGCGGGTAAGAACAGCCAGGAGGTAACCAGATCAGAGCCTAGCAGACCTAACAACTTATTTCACGTGGTACTGGTTGAAGCACCCGAAGTATTTCAAGAAGAGAATGCAGAAATAGTCAACTTGAAGCTCATATGTAAAACGCAAATCTCTTGAATTTCTGAATATCGTTTTAACAATATGTTCATATCAATACTTTATCATTGCCAAAAGTTTGATAAGACCCCTGAATGAAGTCGCATGGAGGTTGAAGTAAGAAGTCTTAGGCCCAGTAGTGTTAGGTTCTAAAGCAGAAGCATCAAGTGGAAAGCTTTTACGCAGACAAAGTCATCTTTTATTTTGTTTTGAGAAAATGCCCATTTTTAACAGGTTTTTATAGTAAACCGACACGATACTGGCTGTAATGTATCTACTGCTGTTTAGTAAAAATTAACTAACTTATAGCGTTAAGAAT